TGAGAACCCAAAGGGATAATGGTTGATAAGGGCCTACAATAATGATAGGCGCAAAAATATAGAGGTCACTCAAAGCCGTGTTCTAGGTAACGCACGCATAACATGTCAATATCCTTTCATTTAGGTTGTTATCATCAGCCAAAGAACCATTACCTGAACCTTCCCAGAATTCCAAAGAATGTATGGTGGATATTCGGGGAGGAACGATTACGAGTGCTGGGTATCTCTTTTTCATCATCAAACACAATCCGACCGCTAAATTAGTGACACTGGTAAGGATAAAGCATTTGCCGTTGATCAATCCCTTTTTGGGATGCGGCACGCATTCTACTTCCATTAACCGACCCCGGAGGGATGGAAGGCTTGGTTGGCCCGGGCGACTCACGACCCAGGATTTGATCCCCGGACCGCTCGCGTGGTAAGCGTGCCACTTGCCACTACACCACTTCCGCCCTGAAAGAAGAATATAAGAAAAAAAAAAAAAAAGCTTTCTTCACTTTATATTAAACCCCTCAAAACTTTAGGTGGAGACACACTCGGCTGTGAGCCCTTCTTAAAGAAAAAAAAATCAACAACTGGCCGCAAGAAATTGCCCAGTGAAGGCGAAACGACAATTTACTATATCTAACGCGTTACGTTTACGCGAAAAGGCAGAGGAAAAGACGTAGTGACTGCGGCGCTGCCTAGCGTTCCCACAACTCGGGAGGTGGAATAAAGGATGGCACGATAAAATGGATAAAGAAGAAGGACAGGTATGCCTACCATAAGGAAGCAGCGGGCCCCCAAGGAAACGAGAAGAGGTTTCGTTTGACGAACGGCATGCACATCGTCACGTAGCTAACCCCAACCCTTATAAGCGTCATCCGCCGTGTTACGGCCCGCCTCCTACTGGAGGACTGGGGTAGGCTTATGCCGCCGAATCGGGAGTAATAGTGCAAACGGACCACTTTTGGTTGCCGGCTCGTCCAAAGACAAAATCATGGGGCAAAATGGGGATTTCCTTGACCAGGACACCTTTTCCCACTTCTATTTCAACTCCGATAAGCAACAATTTTTTCACGACGTTCGCTTTTGGCGTAAGACCAAGCCTGACCAAACTTCAGGCTTTGATCATCCCGCAGCTCCGCTGGACTAAACTGTTGGGAGAAGTGAACGTCTCCCATATGCTTCATAGTAGCGTTTTCTAAATCCATTGCATTTAGGGCGGAAGTGGTGTAGTGGCAAGTGGCACGCTTACCACGCGAGCGGTCCGGGGATCAAATCCTGGGTCGTGAGTCGCCCGGGCCAACCAAGCCTTCCATCCCTCCGGGGTCGGTTAATTGGTACCATGTCTGGGAGGATAAAAACACTGACTTGTACATCGGCTGGCCCCGATTCGTGTACATGAATGATAACGGCCTGGCCCCCTCCAATATGCTATAAACCACAATCGCCGTTCAAATTGCCACTATGATTCTGAATTGAGAGTGGAATTTAGCGGCGTGCGCATTCTATTATAAAGGCATCTAGAAGTTTCTCAACATTGACTCAAACTAAAAGCAATTCGGATTCAGAAACATGGACCGTACCTAGGTCCAGAATACACTTTGGAAGGATATGTCTTAGATAGTAATAGAAAAACATACAACAATTTGGAATCAATTCACGACTATGCAGCCCATATAGGTTGCCAACAACATGCGCTCCTGAGACGATGGCAGCCCATATGGGCTGCCAACTGATAATCGCTTGCCAGGCGCTAGGAATGGACAGATAGGTGGGCAAACCTCGTAATCGAGTGTAAAATGCTTTTAAATTCCTTCACGGGGAAAGTGAATAAATGCTCTCTTTTCGTAACCACTATTTGTCGTTCTGATCGAAATCCTACTGTTATATGTTTAGATCTTTACGCATTGGACATTGCAGAAATTATTTTGTGACATTCATGTTTTTGTTCATTTACAAAACAAAATCTGCGGTTATGTGGTGAGGCGGCGGCGCCCACAAAATCGCGTCCGTCCCACGCGACCGAAAAGTGGAAAAGGGGCGTCGTCGTGAATGTGTTAAATATGTTAACTACTATATGAGTGTAAATAAGAACGAATATGGATTACCCTTCGAGCATCTTCACGACTAGGCTCTCATCGACATCACCCTCAATCTTCGACACGTGGACCAATGTATCAAGCCACATTTCTTTACTCCTGAAATGATTTTCCTGAAGAAACGAAGAACAGGACTTTCTGAGATTTAGACCTATATCAGTGCCATCAGCTCAGATTAAGTTCAATGATTACATTGGGGAATTTTGAAATCTCGATGATTTGGCCCTCCTCCTACAGTATCCCCTCCCACTCTTCTGATGAGATTCCCCATTCGACTCCCTCTCCATGGACAATGGTGTCGTAAATGTCTTGAACTAGTTACCACTTGAGATATCCTATTCCGTCCCCAACTCCAAAATTTCTCCGAATGAAGACACAGGTTCGAATACACCATTAAAAAATTATTGAAGATTTGTAGAAAGAATTACCTTACTAAAGACTACCGTTTTAAATACAAACTCTTCCCCTCCCATCATAAGACCCCTAAATTTGATCCTTCAATAGACCGAAAGTACAACTCCCAATGGGAATTGAATGTGTATCACAGTCCAATGAAAATAGGTCAGTGGCACCTTCAAATCACCAACAAGTCCTTCAGGTTTCCAAAAAAGACCCTACTATAATAAATTACGAGAAACACACTTCTCAGAATTACACAAATCAATAGCTTCGCGGAGTTTGTTGCCCTCAAGGTAGTACTGGAGCAACTCTTTTTTCCTGTAAATAGAAAGATTTGCGAAGCAATAACATGATAGCAAATGCGGCGTGGTCAAACCCTTACCGTCCCAACTTCTGTAAGATATGCTGCATGACGGGAGTGCAGTGAAATAGGCGTGCTAGGTGAAGAGCACGAGTAATATTTCCATCTTCAATAAACGGAATCAACTGCTTGAAACAATCAGCATCCGTCTACAAAATAAAGAATTTCAAGGTGTTCCAGCCACTTCCAGTGAGTTGGGTGTACTCTTTGAAAAGTAGATAGTATCAAATACTGCTGCTGCCAAATCAAAAACAAGAAGAAAACTTTAAAAAAGTAAAATTATTGAACGTGACCAATAAATCCATTTCAACAGATCACAATATTAACTAATCTTTTTTCATAAATTATCAAAAATGGTGCACCAATATTAGCAACTTTTACATCACTTTGACTTTGCACACTAACGAGTGCCTCCTAAGACTTAAATGATAGTGAATGGGACAACTGGGATTTTTGATTTAAGCTTCGGCCACTTTGTTCCACGCCCTTCTGCCATAGGCCATTCACTTCAAATTCGCAAACTTCTATCCCCTTTTCAAAGGCCCCGTACTG